ATTTGAAATCTGAAAGACTGCACATTCGCAATTACTCATTCAGCATAATTTAAGAAAAGCTGATGAGCCAAATGTAAGTGAAACTTTAAAACAAAATCAGATGACACGTGGGCTACTTCAGTTCCAATCATTTACATTTTTTTTCACAACATAGAAGCCACTTCTCCAAAAATGAATCCTTGTGCTTAAAACCAAATTGCAGTCAAAACCTGTACGTGGGGTGAGGGGTAGAGGAAAGCAAGAACAAGAATAAATGGGAACATTGCCATTGGCTGGACGCACAAGAACAAATACTTCTTATTCTATTCTTACAAAGAGCTGTATCAGTATAATACATCTGACACCTATACATCTATTTTTTAAAAACCACTTTCTCAAGAAATGAATAAAAATTATTACCCCATCCAACGAAACATTCTGCCTATATCCTTGGTGAAGATGCTACTAGACAGCCCCTGTTTAACTTCATTGTTCCATGCAAATGCTTCATCTTCGGACTGTAAAAATAATTCAGCGTTCAGAGATGTAAAGCAGTGTAGAAAAGTTCACAACATAGAAAACAATATATTGACACCAAACAGTTGTGTGTTATAAATTAATTCAGAATGGGGTGCAAGGCTTTTGCGTGAGCCACTGCACCATAACCAAAATGTTCCACAAATTCTTGTGCAATTATAAAAACCCAAACAAAAAACAACTGTGTTAGAATTCTTCAATTGCAAAGAGTCAGTATTTTACTTCAAGAATAAATTGAGATAGTGTAAAAGGTTCACCTGTCCAGTGCTCTGTCACATTACATTTTAAACATAAACTTTTGCTTTACCTTAAACTTAAGCACATACAGAATGGGAGCAAATGTCTCAGTGTGAACAATTGATGCATCATGGGGAAGTCCAGTCACAATAGTTGGCTCCACATAGTTTCCCGGACGATTAATCACCTATCACAAGACAGCAGCGATCAATATTAATAAACCTGTCACTTTTCTTTGGCCCTTAAATATATTTACTTTAAGAAAACAAGAGGATTCGAACTTGAATTAAAGCTCAGACGTTCTTCATTGGCATCACATGCAGGATACGTCTGTTAATTCAAGCTGAATCAACTGAATAATAGTGAAATGAGTCGTGACCAGAAGTAACCTAGTGTAGCATCTTAGTGAAACCTACAGGGTAGATTGATCTTAGTAGGATAATAGGTTGGCACAACATCATGGGCCGAAGGGCCTGTACGGTGCTGTACTGTTCTATGTTAAAATCTGGAGATTGTACTGGCCTGTCCCACTTATCTAACTAATAAATATAGTAAATTTTCAATCCTCATCTTGTTGATTGTTGTCACTGCACCATACCTCTGCAAAGTCCTACAGAGATGAATCCTTCCGATTCAATGTTCTCTTAGACCCCATCTCATCCTGCCATTGCAACAAAGGACTTACATTTCCACCACAAGCCACGGTGCCACCCTGCTGTTTGGCCTGTTCCACTGCATTCTTGTACATATCCACTGCCTGCTTAGTGTGGAGAGGACCATATAAAGTAGTAGCTGAAAGAAAAATATTTTAAAAATTTACTGTACTTGCACCATACAGCAGTTGAAAATCTGGAATATGGTACTTAAAACAACTCTGTTCCAAACATCAAGAGTCAACCCAAAAAAAATCAGCAGAAATCAATCTACGCTGCAGACAAGAACCCAATTTTTGTAAAAACCAAAAGAACTGCGGATGCTGTAAATCAGGAACGAAAACAGAAGTTGCTGGAAAAGCTCACCAGGTCTGGCAGCTCTGTGAAGAAAAAAGCTTGAGGAAGGGTCACTGGACCTGAAACGTTAACTCTGATTTTTCTTCACAGATGCTGCCAGACCTGCTGAGCTTTTCCAGCAACTTCTGTTTTTGATCCAGTTTTTGTAGCAGGGTTCAAATTCGCAACCAGCATTTTCAACATCTATGCAAGGGAGAATTGCAAAACAAACAAAAACATTTTGGCAATAATTCTGATTTTCTAAAATTCTAAGGAAAAGTGTAAGTCTTTTGAAAACAACATAGGGAGGTGTCTGATAGTATTGCCTTTGGTCAAATTTTAATTGCCCTTATCTCCCAGTGTATTAGTATCCCTTTCCATTACTCCTTTAGTTATTATGCTGAATTGTAAATGGTTTGCAAATCTACCTCAGTGGTTTACATCTGTGGTTCTGCTAGCTGATGCTTGTGGTGCCACAATTTTCACTCTTGAACATTCATATCTTAGCTGTCAGCAGTGTCTCACTGCAGCCATGTGTATTTAGGGGTTCCCTACCTCAGGGACCAGTTTGTACAGCGTTAATGTCACAGGTTGTCGTTACTGTCACAAACATTGCAAAAGGCGAGATTATAAGTATCACCAAAAGAACTGCTTGCTGAAATTCAAAATCCCTAGGCTTCCGTCGTTAGCTTTTCCGAGTGGGTGCCAAGAGGTGGCAAACAGAACAGGCAACAACTTGAAGCTATTAGTCTGCCAAAAGAAGTGGGCATCAAGTCCAGACTATGAAGAGGAAGAGGACGACCAAGGAGGGAGAGAGATATGGCTAGTGAGGTGCTGGAGACTGGAGGTAGATGATGCACATCACCTCTTGTGAGGGAATCAAACATCACAGGATTACCGATTAAAATGTAAGTGGAAGCCAGTATTACAATTACACCTTACTTATAATCTAATCTTAACTATAGCATTACTGCATAGTCACAACCTGAAATAGGCATGATAGAACAAAACCGAAGATTTTTAAAAAATTATTCAGGAATCAGGGCTTTGATCACAGATAGCAAAAGGAAATGACATGCCTCCTAACTGTTTAATGTAGAAGGTGGACAAGTTAAACACATCCACAAGCCTTGTCTGAGCTTGGCATCAATTTTTTTTTATATATTGGCAGCATGAATGCTGCTTCTGCTGGTACCTGCTGGTTTCAGCATTAATGCTGGTTTTAAGCTTCTTGTCACAATCGGCTGTATCCCATTTCTCTATTTTAAATTTTAAATGACCAATTTGACTTTGATTCTGTACTGTATTTAAATTTTCTGAAGGCACTTCATAAGATGCCACATGAAAGGCCACTGTGGAAAATAGAAGTTCATGATGTAGGGATAGCATATTGGCACAGATAGACTTGCTAGCTAACAGGAAAGAGTATAGGCATTTTTATTTTCTTGCTAGCACAATGTAACAAGTGATGTACCACAGAGCTCAGTGTGCAGCCTCCATGTTACACAATTGATGTAACTGACTTGATGAAGGGGCCAAAGGCGTGGTTACTAAATTTTCTGATGACACAAAGATAAGTCGGAAAATAAATGTAATGAAGAATAAAGAGCCTACACAGGGATATAGACAGATTAAGCGAGTGGGCAAAGATCTAGCAACTGAAGGATAATGTTGAGAAAATACAAACTCATCCATTTTGGCAGGAAGAACCAGAAAAGTAGATTAGTGAAATAGTGAGAGATTGCAGAGCCCTGTGATGCAGACAGATCTGGCCGTCATAGTATATAAATCACAATAGATTAGTTGTGCAAGCTACAAAAAGCAAGTAAGAAAGCTAAAAGAATATTATTGTTTATCACAAGAGGAACTGAATACAAAAGTAGGGAGGTTATGCTTCAGTTATACAGAGCACTGGTGAGACTGCATCTGGAATACTGTGCACAGTATTGAACACTATGCTCTTAAAAAAAAGGATACAAATGCATTGGAAGCAATTCAGAGAAGCTTACTAGACTAATGTGGAATGTGCATGTTTTCTTATGAGGAAGTCAGACATGCTAGTTTTATATGAGATGAGAGTTTGGAAGAGATGACTTAATCGAACCTGTAAGGTCCTGTGGGCTCTTGACAAGGCAGAAGTGGGAGCAAACTTCCCTCTTGTGAAATAATCTAGCATGAGGTGTCACCATTTAAAAATAAGTGGCTGTCCATTTAAGACAAAGATAAGGAGATTTAATGTCTCATACAGAGTTGAGAGTCTTTGGAACTGTCTTCTTCAAAAGGCCATGGAATCAGAGTCTTTTTAAGGCAGGGTGGATATATTAGATAGATTTTTGAAAGCCAGGACGCTTGGAGGCAGGGGTTTAGAAATAGGTCAGAACATAGTATAAGCAGATCAGCATGATCTTATTGAATGGCAGAGCAGGCAAAAAAGGCTTAACAGCCTAATTGTGCTCCTTTTTCATATGTTTGCTAACATCCAGTTCTGAATTACTTAATTATCCTCACAAGTACTGAATGTTTAATCAAACTATCTCAAGCCTCCCTGCTCAGTGATTTTCCTGAACAGTTTAAGTGAGGGACACTTCATGGTAACATATGAAATAATTCACATGCTTTTATGACGATGCTGTCACTTTAAAAAGGTTGTTTTGTCCTGGGTTTTCTTGAAAAGAGATGGTGTGGGCAAAAGGTTACAAATGGACTCCTGTAAACAGCTTAAGTAAATAACTAGGAGGCCTTTAGGTTTTGTCTATAAATAGTTGGAACAATGGAAGGGGAGTGGCCAACTCTCACAGACCAGGCTCTGTAGTTTCTTTTAAACTGTAGCAGTCAGAAGCCGTTTGGGGTCCCAGAAGAGTGGGAAGCTTCAATAAGTAATGCTAGCTGCTAACTTCTCCGAAATCTCTCTTGATGTTGTTTCCTCCTGGATTGGAGAACTGCATGTAAGAATCTGCGTCTGAATTTACCGTTTTGCCAAGGGATGTGTTTATGGGATGTTATTTTATTGGAACAGTTAATTAGAAATAGGTACTGTATCTATGATTTGGTTAAGTCTTCCAATAGTTAAGTTATTCTAAATTCCTCTTTCTTTCATTTGTATTTTAATTATGATATTTAAATAAATTGTGTTTTGCTTAACATCAAATAATTTGACCAGTCGCATCACATCTGGAACATGCACTTCACAAGTACTTTTAAAATAAGTAGTAGTTAGAGTCTAGGCTACCTTCCTAAAATATTCTGAGGGGTCTAGTCCATAACAATTTATAGTGGTTTTCAAATAATGAGTAAATGGGTTTTCAAGAAAGGAGCAAAAAACTTACAGTCTAATGGATCTCCAATTCGGACCTGTTTGTAAGCTTTGACCAGTTTTTCCACCACACCATCATGAATACTTTCATGTAAGAACTAAAAAAAAAGGCAATATTTAATATTTCTATTTTTGTTAAATTTCTGCAAAGTTATAGAATGATTTTTAATCAAATGAACTTCATAAAACAAATGGTTAGTCGTTTTGCAAATATTTATTCAGAAAAACACTGGGCAGTCTTGGTTATAACTCACCAGACGTCTAGTTGTTGTGCACCTCTGCCCTGCAGTCCCCACAGCAGCAAAGAGAACAGATGGAATTACCATGTTTAAATCAGCGTCATCGAACACTGTCAGTGATAAGATAACACCAGTCAAATTCCATGAAGAGATTCAGTTAGAGAACAAACTTGTTCCGAGAACTGCTCACAATCTGCAGATTCTTTGGGACATATAGCGACAAAGTTATTCATCTGATATTTAGCCTCCAGCTGGTACTACAGAAGACCATCAGCCCTTGCTGGTCTTCACAAAAATATAATTAAATGTATTAAATTACAACTTCAGCCATTACATTGCTTTGTTCTTATGGGAAATGACAATCTTATAGCATGGCAATTTATTAACCATGCAATGCCATTTCCATCTCAGCACTTCTAAAAGTATGACACTGAATTTACAGGGTACTTTTTTTTAAATTAGGTACATGAAAAAAATAAAATTTATGTTCTAAACATTTGGTTACCTGCTGAGATGTCATTTCATAATCATTGGTCAAATAATTTTCAGTGTTCCACAAACAGTTAATGTCATGGTTGGACTTCAATTTTAAGTAACAAAGTGAACTGCTCTCCAAAAACCAATTAACCCAGTGTATTTAGTTTAACAATACAGGCTGCATATAAAGACATTTCTTAAGAGGATGGGAAAGTTAAATATCGCTGATTCTACAACTGAGAAAGAATCCAAATGCTATAAATGATCATTTATAGTAAACTGTAAGAGCTTTATACGGTGTCCAAAAGCTCTATATTGTACATTCCTTTCATATCGTGGGAAAAGTAAAAATATTAAAAGGACATTTTGGACATAATAAAGCGTGATTTACATTTCAACAAATAAAATGGAAAGACACAAATTTAAAAGTAAGAAATATCTCATTTGTCTTGTGGTTGAACCGGGAATTCAATTTTAACCATCATTGGGGAAAAAAGCAAGAATGTAAAGGTTCATTCCCAGCAATGTCAGTTCTGCAGTACTTGATTCTTACCAGGTGATGGCACCTGTACTCTTTTTGTATGGAATTTGAATTCCCTTTAACCAACAATCATTTCAAGAAAGCAAAACTAGTCCTGAAATTCCACACAAGATTTTGCTGGTCTCCCACCATAACTTTTTAGCAGGTGAACTCTCCAAGGAATTCCACATCGGAGATTTCCATTGCAAAGTAATGTGCCTGAAGTGAATTTGTCTCTCTGGGAGCGCAAGAGCAAAAAAAAAAGTGAGGTAGGAAGAGAACGCAATAACGTCAAAATTAGGTTTACAATCCATGTGTGCCAGCATACAAACTGTGGTAACTAAGGTTGGTGAGCTATTGGCACAGATATGGAAGGTGATGGTACATGACATTGTGGTGATGAGAGAGACCTGGCTCAGAAAAAGGAGAGGCTTAAAACTAAGTAAAGTCAGAGATGTAGAGCACAGAAACAGACCTTTTGGTCCAACTCACATGTGCCGACCAGATACCCTAAGTTAATCTAGTCCCATTCGCCAGCATTTGGCCCGTATCCCTCTAAACCAATCCTATTCACGTACCCATCCTGATGCCTTTTAAATGTTGTAAATGTACCAGCCTCCACCACTTCCTCTGGCAGCTCGTTCCATACATGCATCACCCTCTATATGTGAAAAAGTTACTCCTTAGGCCCCTTTTAAATCCTTCCACTCTCAACTTAAACCTATATCCTCTAGTTTTAGACTCCTATCCTGGGAAAAAAGACCTTGGCTATTCACCTTATCCATGCCTCTCATGATTTTATACACTTCCATAAGGTCACCCCCTCAGTCTCCAACGCTCAAGGAAAATAGCTCCCAAGCCTATTCAGCCTCTCCCTATAGCTCAAACCCTCCAACCCAAGCAACATCCTTGTAAATCTTTTTTTGAACCCTTTCAAGTTTAACAACACCTTTCCTATAGCAGGGAGACCAAAATTGAACACAGTATTCCAAAAGGGGCCTCATGAATACGAGGTATTTAGGAAAGGAAACAAAAAGAAGGAAGGAGGTTGACAATACTGATTAAATGCCAGAGAGGGTTGTTCTGGAGGGGGCTGAAGATAGATTCTATTTGATTAGAGTTAAGCAACAACAGGCATAAGCATTATACTGTTGGGTGTATTCTATAAGACACCATCAGGAGAGATGTAAAGGAGCAAATTTGCAGGTAAACACCAGAGAAATGCAACAACTATTTAGCCATCATTTCCATCACCTCCAGCGAGATGCCACAACCAGACACATATTCCCCTACCCTCCCTTTGTCAGCATTCCACAGGAACCATTCCCTGGTCCACTCCTCCTCCATTCCCAACACCTTCCCACAGTCCAACGACACCTTCCCCAACCGCAGAAGGTGCACCACCTGCCAGTTTCCTTCCTCCCTCCCTGCAATCCAAAGCCTCAGATACACGTTCTGGGTGAAGCAGTAATTTTTCCTGTACTTCACTCAATCTGGTCCACTGTATTCGCTGCTCACAATGTGGTCTCATCAACTATAAGGAAATGAAATACAGACAGAGTGGCTGCTTTGCAGAACACTGTCACAAAGTTCCCAAGCTTTCAGTTGCCTGCCACTTCAACACACCACTGTGTTCCCATGCGAACATTTCTGTCACAGGACTTGCTGTTGTTCCAGCGAACACAGTGTAAGCTTGAAAACAGCATTTCATTTTCTGCTTGGGGACCCTACAGCCTCTGGGACTAAACATCGAGTCTAATAAGTATAGAGCCTGATTTAGTCCTTCCATCTTTTTTACCCACCCTCACACCATGGTCTTTTCAATGACATGTGTCATTTTCAGTACAGCCTGGCCATTCTTCTCCTAATCTCAGCTCTCATTATCACTTATTCAGCTTCTCTTCTGTCATGGCCTACTATCAACAATTCCCTCAACTGCCTACCCCATCCACATCTCTCTCTCTACGCTCCCCACTGCCCACCCCTGGTCTCCATCTCCAGCTTTCCACTCACCTCTCCACCACCCTCATCTCATCGTGAGCGTAAATACCATATTTTCCTAGCTGCTATCAGTTCTAATGAAGAATCAACGTACTCGAACTCTTAACTTTGTTTTTTATCCACAGATACTGCCAGACCTGCTTAGTTTTGCCAACAATTTCTGTTTTTGTTACAGATCTCCAACATCTGCAGTTCTTTGTTTTATTTTAGGGCAGGTGGTTCGATTGCTGGCAATCAAAGGAAACCTTAGATTGTTTTATTGGGAAGAAGCTGCAAAGTATGTAGATTTGGCAGACAAAGGCATCGGCCAGTTTGTTAACAATGGAGACTGACAGACTCCAAATTTCCAAAGAGCTGTTGAGAATGTCAACATTCCTGTGTCAGCTTGTATTCAGCAGCAATTCATAAAATTATTGCAAAGACTAGTAAGTCAGACTCTCTATGAAAAGCAGTTTTGTGTTTAGCAGCAAGAAGAAAAACCTAACTCCAGAACTCTTGGGGAAAAGACACATGAATGAGTGAAAAGCGATCCCAGTAAAAGCAACATGAATAGCTCAGGCATGTCGGTCAGTGCTGGAACGTTTGTTGTTTACATAAATGATCTGGATGTGAATGTACAAGGCATGATTAAGTTTGTGGATAATACAAAAGCTGGAGGTATCGTTGATAGCGAAGGTTATCAAAAATTACAGAGCAATCTTGATCAGATGGGGAAGTGGGCTGAGGGTTGGCAAATGCAATTCAATACAGATAAGTGCACTTTGGAAAGTCAAACCAAAGTAGGGCTTATGCAGTAAATGGTAAGGTCCTGCTGAGTGTTGTGGAACAGAGGGACCTAGGAGTACAATTTGATAGTTTGTTGAAAGGGGCGTCACAGGTGGACAGGGTGGTGAAGAAGGCATTTAGCATGCTGGCCATCATTGGACAAGGCATTGAGTCTAGGAATTGGGACGTTATGTTACACTTGTATAGGTTGTTAATGAGGCCACACTTGGAATACTGTGTACAGTTTTGGTCACCCCTGCTATAGAAAAGACATAGTTAAGCTGGAAAGTGCACAAAGAAGGTTTACGAGGATGTTGCCAGGACTAGTAGGCCTGAGTTATAGGGAGAGGTTGGACAGGATAGGATTTTATTCCTTGGAACGTAGGAGAATGAGGGGTAATCTTATTGAGGTGTATAAAATCATTAGGGAATAGATAGAATGAATGCATGTAGCCTTTTTCCCAGGCAGGGGTAATTGAAAACTAGAGGGCAGAGGTTTAAGGTGAGAGGGGAAAGATTTAAGAAGGACCTGAGGAGCAATTTCTTTACACAGAGAGTGGTGCATGTATGGAATGGGCTGCCGGAGAGTGTGGTTGAGGCTGGTACAATAGCAACATTTCAAAAACATTTACATTGGTGCATGGATGGGAAAGATTTAGACAGACACAAACCAAATGCCAGCAATTGGAACTATCTGAGTGGGCACCATGGTTAGCATGGACCAGGTTGGGCCGAAGGGCCTGTTTCCATGCTGTATTTCTCTATGACCTACTGAAATTCCCCAGCATTTTCCCTATTTATTTTAATTGTTCTGTTTGTGGGATTTTGATTAACTTAATTCAACTAATTCTGATGACACACAATCCCTAGATTTATTTTAAAAAGCAACAACGTTTAGGGGAAAAACATTTGTTTTGCTTGTTCAATAGAAGGATCACTGGACTGAAACATTAATTCTGCTTTCCCTCCACAAATGCTGTGTGACCCGAGTTTTTTTTCCAGCAATTTCTGATCTTGTTTGTGTTTGTTTTTTTTTAACTGGACTGGTTATCCTGGATTCTGTCCCTATCAATGGAAATCCATTTTATTCAGAAGTATCCACAAGATAGTTTAACAGTGGTCAGCCAAATATTGAAGGGCAGAGGTGAAATATTCTTAGAACACGTTACTGCCAAGTAAAACAGAATATCAGATAAAATAATTTACTGGAGTTGGTCCTCAATGGTAAACCCAAGATAGCACTGAATGTCCATTCAGGGGAATACGGAGGGTGGAATCTGAATCCCACTGGAAATTTTTAAGGTGGGTAGGTATTTAATTGGGTGGGAGAGTGTTGTATGAGGATCCAACATTCAATTAAGTTTGAGGCAGAAAGACTGGTCAACAACCTTCCCACCCTGATATATTCATTCAGGTCCTCAAGTAAATAATGCCCATAGTGGAATAGGTGGTTTCCTTATTCAAAGTCACACTGGCACACTGATTGAGCAACGTGGCATCAGGAACAAAGTTCACTGGAAGTCCACCTCCCCCTTACCTCCCAATCGCCTCTCCTCCTCCCGCAATCCCACCCTGCCCTCACTCACCTTTGACCTCAGGTTCCATTCTGATCCTGGGCCTCTGGTGGGTGAACTACCAACAGGTGCCACTTCTGCCAGTAGCCAGGGTGTGGAGGTGCCAGTGAAGTCACCTGACGAAGGGGCTACGCTCCGAAAGCTTATGATTTCAAGTACACCTGTTGGACTATAATCTGGTGTTGTGCGACTTCTGATTTCTCCCAGTAGTTTGAAGTGGTGGGATGTTTGTCCCCAGAGTTATTCATCCTGGGGAAGGCCCAATGGTGGGTACATAACTACCTGACTGGCACTTAATACAACAGGCCTTCCTCAACATCTAGCCAACCTGTGAAACCCACATCACAAACATTAAATTCCGCCCTTTACACTTATAATGAGCCTGAATATCAATCATTTGACAGATACTGCAGCAACATCAATAAAGAAGGATACTATTTTACAATTTCATCCAGTACATTTTGTTTTAAAAAATGTCATTTTAGTAATGATTCACTCCAGAGAATTATAACTCTCTATGTTCAAGATTTAACTGTGCAATTATTTGTACCTGTTCAGAATTAAAATAATGTGCCTCAAGGGTTTTACAACATCAGGATGCATAAATCCAGAGTTTCATGAAATGTCACTATTTCACAAACTCCAGTCCCCAGTTTGTGGGTAATAGTTATAGCATTTTAGAATCCCTACAGTATGGAAGTAGGCCATTTGGCCCATCAAGTCCACACCATCCCTCTGAACAGCATCCCACCCAGATCCACATCCCTACCATATTCCTGTAACCTTGCATTTCCCATGGCTAACCCATCAAGCCTGCACATCCCTGGACACTACAGGCAATTTAGCATGGCCAATCCACCTAACCTGCACATCTTTGGACTGTGGGAGGAAACACACGCACACACGGGGAGAATATCTGGTGTGGAGTTTGCACAGTCGCCTGAGGCTGGAATCGAACCCGGATCCATGGCGCTGTGAGGCAACAGTGCTAACCACTGAGCCACTTATGTTTTCTTTTGTTCAAGCTCATAATTATACTTCAAATAAGAAAAGGAAATAACACTAAAATGACTACTCTAGATCTAAATGTATTTTTTTTTCTTTGCCTTAGGAATAGGACAGATTTCTCCAATCTGAAAATCTAGCTTCATATCTAAAGATTACACTGGATCAAAACTGACACATTACCAATGATAGCATTGTTCCCGCCAAGCTCCAGAAGCAATCGCCCTGGAAGTGCAGACAGAAGAGAAAAACATTATAGTTCATCTTCACAAAACCGTCATCAACAGTCAACCAATTTCTACTTCACACTGTGCATTTTGTTGCGAAAACATACAAGTTTCATTACTTGCATCTACAAATGACTACTTACCAAATCGCTCTTGAACCACTAACGATACTTGTTTGCCCACATTTGTGCTACCAGTAAAAGACATGAGATTTATTCGTTCATCTTTGCTCATTGCAGCACTGAAAATTAATCAAAAACAGCTTTAGAATATCAGTTAACTTCTGGAGTACTCAAGTATAAAAATCACAGAAAACTTTGAGTTGCTTGTAGCCAGCTGGACAATCAATAACTGAAAGATACTAGCTTCTCCTCAAAATCACATTAACTGAAATGCCTGCAGAGTTTTGCAATAATCTTGGTTTTGTTATAATCTGGAATTTATTTTATATAAATAATGGATTACAGAGAGGAATATTTTAACACTGCAATTCTGTTTGGTAATGTGGAAAATTACAGTAATAGACAAAAGATTTAGCATTATAATCGTAGGATGAACTCTAATGTTGAATTGGTTACCATCGAGTTTCTTTTACACACACAATATTATGGAGAAAAAGGTCATTCAGCTTGTCACCTGTTTACATCGGGGGCAACTCAGCTAGTCCCACTCTCTTGCAGCGCTGCTAATCTATTTTATACACACGTTTATTAATTCCCGAACTCACAATTGAACCTCCCTCCCCACCACTTCTAAGCAGTGCGATCCAGATCCTAACCATTTGCAGTAAAGAAAACGATCTTCCTCTTGACACCATTGGCTCTTAGTTTGATGCAGCCACTAATTTATCTGCATTCTTAAAAGGGAAAGGACATCAAGATTTCAAAACTTCATGAATCCCGCTGCTAAAATTCGACAGCTGCACCAAACTAAAGATACAGTCATACAGTGGTTTCAAAAAAAAAAGGACAAGTAATCTAGAGAAATAACCTGGTGACATGCATGCAAACACCACTATGACAGCTGTGGAATTTAAAGCCAGTTAATTGGAGGAGTTTAATGTTAGGTGATAGGAGTCTTGAACCCCTCCACTGGAGAATTGGCAGGAGCCTTGTGTGCATGTCCTAGGAGAAGTCCTCTAGAATTAAAAGCTCATCAGGCCCTTAACAGGCTAGTGTCAGGATTTAGGAATCCAATTCTCTGAGAGCTGCCAGTTACTCTAGACTGACAGCTCTCCATTGTTGTCCAGTATGACCAAGAGTGGTGGCTGTTGTGAGGAATGCACCCACCAGAGGCCTAGGACCAACAACAGACCCAAGTCCAGAAGTGAGTAAAGCCAATGTGGAGGTTGCTAAATAATGTGGTGGAGGGAGAAGGGGTCAGAAGGGCAGAGAATGGTTTTTCATCATGCTCCCACCCCATCCTGATACTCAGCAATGTGGCAATAATGCCTCAGAAATGGCATGTTTTTGGTCATTTCAACCAAACCATTATGCCAGACCAATCAGCATTAAGATAGCTACAGGAAGCAACAACAGCCCACACTGCCATGACAACATTCAAAGTCACCCATACTGGGAATCTGTGCCAAAATTGGACAGCATTCTCAAAAAGTTGTTAAGCGACAGTCCAACAGTCATAAAGTGAGTTGTGTATCTCAGCCAAGATCCTCCATCAATACCACCATCAGGGCTGATTCACTAACAACGGAGGCAGGGCACTGTACAGCCGAGAGGCTCGGAGAGTCCTCAGTATTGACTCTAGGACATAAAGGTCTGCGGCACCCAAGTAAACATGTTCAAAGCAACTTGCTAACTAACATCAACCTTCATTCCTCAGCAACTAAGAACATAATTGAATAGAATGGTCAGTGATGACAGTGATACAAACTTTTTTTCACTGATTCAGAGGAAAAAATGACTTTGTTGGCTGGGCCAATGTTTATTACCCATTCCTAACTGCCCTTGAGAAAGTGGTGGTGAACTACTTTCTTGAATCGTGGCAATCCATTTGGAGCAGTAGCCCGTAATGCTGCGAGGGAAAGAGTTCCAGGATTTTGACTGAGCAAAAGGGAAGGAATAGCAATACATTTGAGTCAGGATAATGATTGGTTTGGAGGGGAACTTGCAGGTGGTGGTATTCTCATGTACCTGCTGCCCTTGACATTCCAGATGGTAGTGATCATGGGTTTAGAAAGTGCAGTCTAAGCAACATTGGTGGATTTCTGCAGTGCATCTTGTAGATGGTACACACTGCTGCTACTGAACGTCAAGCGTGTTGTGAGCAGACGTTTGAGAATGTGGTGCAAATCAAGTGGGCTGCTTTGTCGTGGATGGAGTCAAGTTTCAAGTGTCGTTGGAGCTGCACACATCCAGGTAATTGGGGAGAATGCCATCGTACTCCTAAATGTAGATGGTGGGTAGACTTTGGGCAATCAGTTACTCACTGCATAATGAATAGCCTCTGACCTGATCTTTGAGCTTCAGTTTTTTGCATAGCTAGTCCTGTTCAGTTTCTGGTGGAGGATTCTTTGATCACAATGCCACTGAACGTCAATGATTAATTCTCTCTTGCTCATACCCTAGTTTAGTGGGAATGTTACTTGTCAGCCCAAGCCTGGGGATATTGTTCAGGTTTTGCTGCATTTGGACAGTATCTGAACATTATGCAATCATCAGCAAATCTTCTTCACTTCTGGTCTTATGATAGTCGATGGATATACTGGCAGTAATCTTCCAAAAATCCTTAGGCTCTGGAACAATTTACAGATGATTGGAAAGTGCCAATGTAACACTTTTATTCAAAAAGGAAGAGACAGCAGAAAGATAACTACAGGTCTGTTAGTTGTAACATCTGTCATTTGGAAGTCTACTATAAATCTATATAGTCTTTATAGTCTACTATAAAGGACGCAATAGCAGAGCATTTAGAAGTATAATCAAGCAGAGTCAGCATGGTTTAATGAAGGGGAAATCATGTCTGATAAGAGCCCATGGTAGTGTGGATAGAACATTCTCATGGATAAAGGACTGGCTAACTAAAGAAGACTGAGAGTTGGGATAAAGCGGCTATTTTCAGGATGGCAACCTGTATTTAGTGCAGTGCCACAGAGATCAGCATTGATGCTACAACTATTTATAAGATATATTAATAACCTGGATGGGGTAAGTGAATGTACTATCACCAGATTTACGGATGATATAAGAGTAAGTGGTGTGGTAAGGCAAGCAGCAAGGATGACTCGAAGAGTCTGCACAGGAATATAAACAGGTTAAGTAAGAGAACAAAGACTTGGCAAATGGAATAAAATGTGGGAAAATGTGAGGTTTGGCTGGCAGAATAGAAAACCTGAGTTTTATTTAAAATGGGAAAAGACTGCAGAAAAAACTCCTGCACAGAGGGACTTTGGGGTCCTCGGGCATGAATCACGAAAAGCTAGCATCCATATTCAGCAGATAATAGGGAAAAAAAAATGAACCGTTAGTCTTTATTTTAAAGGGATTGGAGAATAAAAATAGCAAGGTCTTGCTAAACTATGCAAGCAGTAGTGAGTCCACAGCTGGAATACGTAAACACTGACTAGATCCCTTACCTAAGGAAAGAGAAATGGGCATTGATGGCAGTCCACAGAAGGTTCACTAAGTTGTTTCCAGGTATGGAGGGACTGTCTTATGAGGAGAGGTTGAGTCAGCCTGTTCTCATTGAAATTTAAAAAGAATGAAAGGCAGCCTTATTGAAACATCCAAGATAATTAGGGGACTTGACAGGAGAGATACTGAGAGGTTGTTTCCCCTTGTGGGAAGGTCTAGGAACATGTGAAGTGAACCCTATTTGAACAGAACTGCTTTGCAGTAAGCTGATGGCAAGTGGATCAACATGGCAACAACATTCGGCAAGAATTTAACATTGCTTACATTGTGTTGTTCCAAATGGAAAGTACTCTAACTGCATCTTTAATATTCTTGCACAGGATGTGCTGTTGCTGGATAGGCCATCCCTAACAATCCATCAGGAAGGTAGTGGAATATGTTTATATGCCACACATTTTATATATATTCTAAGACGATTCAGAAACATGCTCTCACATAATATATTCAATGTTTATAATCAAAATTGCATCCTCTGGTTACTTTCTCCTTACATCATCAAATTGTTTTTGAAGAATTTCAAATACTTCTGGTCATTCATGTGACTAGTTATCATGGACGTTTAATCTGGATTATAAAGGATGGAAGGTACTTTATGTAAGAGTTCATTATGGAAAATCAATTTTCACCAAGTCCATCATTTCTTCACTAATAAACTTGCATAAGAAATTGTAACAAACTTGTATTTTTTTCTTAACTATTATTGTACTGGCGAGTGGGACAATAATTGATACCCACAGTTCAGCAAGTGAATTAATATACTTCAAGAGCATTAGTCTGCTGTCATTACTCTTTATTCACTTACCCAATGTCAGCACCTCCACATGTAAGGGAACAAATAGCTCCGGGTAATTTGTTATTTTCCAAAACTTGAGCAACAATTCTGTAAAGAGAGAAAATTAGAACAACTTGCAAAAACTTTAATTTCAGAAGTAGATAAAGCTAAAAAGACTAAAGCTGTACAGAATGTCTGCATTTTAATAGCCATAAATTTAGGATTAAGAACACTTTACAGGGTTATTTTTAAAGCCATTAATAATTATTCCAACACTGACAAGGACACAATCCACCAAACATTTAAAATGCTTTATGGTCAAAATGGAAATAAGGTGAAATTATGCTTTTTTGGACAACTGAAGTGAAACTGAAATTTAAGCTTAAATTTTAAACTTGCATAATTTTGAATAGATAATTAAATATCAGTCAACTGCAACAGCTCAAGGGTCAAGCGTTAGTTACACAGAAAGCTTCCAGGCTAACTGAAACAATTGTTTGAAAGATGAAATCTTACGAAAATAAACAGAATAAGCTGGGCATCGTGTGAGGCTTACAAAGCAAATGAATTCAGAAAAGTTAATTCAAAGGAACTTTTATTTTGCAGTTCTCCTAAACTTTTTTTCAAAAATAAAAGCTTTAATCAAACTTAAAACTAATATGAAATTGCACGAAGGGGACAAACTCTGTAAATTGATGGAGTTGGGAGAAATTGACATTCCAGACCCAGACTGTGGCGGATTCTGGTTGCAAAACAACTAGCTGCCAGCTGAAGTAGTTGACCTTCATGAGTGACTGGCAATGCCTCAAAACATTAGAGAGGGAGTAGTTTTATAGCCAAGTTACAGAAGATCAGACTTTCGATCAGAGTAAACAAAAGTTGGTTGGAAATAGAGTCAGAAATCACATGTGAATGTACAAAATGGGAGCAAAAATTGACCATTCAGACCTTCAAGCTTGTCCTATCATTTAATGAGATTGTGACTGATTTGTTTGTTTTCCCACCTACACCTAATAACACTTGGTTTCTCTGTCTGACAAGAATTGATCGACCTCGGTCTTAAAAATATTCAATTATCCACTCTTCAAAGGTGGAGGTTCAAAGTTGCTCAACCCGCGGAAAAAACAAATTCTCATCTCTGACCTGTGTCCATGCTGTATGAGTCTATGACTTGAAAGGGCCACTGTCATTTTGTGACACCAATCCTTGTTCTAGACTGATCCACAAGAGGAAACATTCTACCCATGTGCACTTTGTCAAGATTATTCAGGATCTTATAGATATTTTTAAACAACCTCTTCAAACATGTTATGACACACTGCTGGAGCAGTTGGGACTTGAACCCAGACCTTCTGCTACCCTCAAAATGTTGTACACTCGAATCAAGTTCACCCCTCACTCTTCTAATCTTCAGCCTGTCAAACGTGCCTTAACAAGGCATCCACCAATTCCAAGTATCAATCTAGTAAACTTTGTCTGAACCAGCTCCAAAGCTTTTACATCCTTTGTTGAAAAAGGAGAGCAAAATTGTGCACAGTATGTGAGATGTACTCTTACCAATGTCCTGTGCAACTGAAGCATAATATCCTTTATGTTCAATTCTCCTCATATAAGAAAATAGCACTGCATTAGCCTTTTTGATTACATTCTGTACCTGCATACTAATTTTTCATGATTCACACACCAGAACACCTAAATCCCTCTGTATCTTAGAATTCTGCAGGCCTCTTTCTGTATTACTCATTTATTATTCATATATTTACATTTATTAATTTTTTAAACTATTCTACCTGTCAAAGGGAAGAACTTCACACTTTCCCACATCTGCAACTGTGTCTCTATTAATCTATCCTACAGATGAGTACACCAATTCACTTCAGTTAGTTCAGTTCTCATGCCAACATACTCGCCCTTAAATAGGTTTAAAATACTAGTCTTAGCCCCAATCTTCTCCCTTTCAAATTGGATGGAAAATTCACTCATTAGTGTCACTCTAACTATGGGTGCCTTAACTCCAAGGTCATTAATTATCTCATGTTACACAAGTCAAATATAATCTGCTCTCTGGGCAGTTCCAAGACAGGTTGCTCTAAGAAATTATCTGAAAAGCCTTCTGTGATCTTATCCAAGCCAGTACCACCTATCTGATTTTGCCAACTAACATGGTTACTGCTGTCCCTATAAACACATTTATCAATAATTCTTCTTATATACTTTGTCATACGTTGCAGTTACTGTTAGACCACTCCCACTAGTGACTTCTTTCCTGTACTATTGCTCATTTCCACCTAGACTGATTCTACACCCTGATCCCACACCCTGATCCCATGATCCAAGGTCATCTCGAACCAGTGCACAAATCCTTGACTAACAGTGCTACTCATCAATCTTTGTGATCATGAAGCCATGTCTCCATAATATCTACCAAGTTAATTTATTTATTTCAATGTACATCACCATCAGTTCAATCTGGTAGTGGACCAGGTGCCACCACCCATAATTCAATATCCAGTCAAGGAAGAAGGGAAGAAGGGAAAAGGAGCAGACAGACTTTGGCATTAGCTAATTCAATTATTATGCTCACAGATAGAATTCTCTACAAAATGGGCTCAAATGAATTGTATGTTGCTTCCTGGTATGTGGATCCCATGTTCAACATTGACACGATAACAGAGGGAGCAATTGTCGTCAACTATACGGTGATAAATAACATATCTAGAAGACAACTAAAGCGTTCACACTAAACTTAAGCTACTGGAAAGCCCAACACCTGCACCTATGTGCACGATTTTCTGAAACAGTATGTATACCACATGCAAATGAAATGAGACATGTGATAAATATAAGGAACACGTGACTATGGGTTTAGTGTAAGATATCAGACAGTCGGTATTTCAACCAGTGGGATGGGTTTTGGTGTATATGGAGGTTATATAGGCCTGATAGGTTCCAACTAAACCAAAAGAAAAATGAGTAGAGATATTGGCAGGCAGAGTTACTTCCCAACTCCTCCTTTGCACGTGTTGGCAGGTTGCCTCCAATTCCATGAGCTCTCATTTTTGTTATGACACTTAAATAGAATTGAGTATCCATAAGAAAGGTCATTACAATATAAAAGAGTCAAATTACATAACAAATATACCTAGGACTAGGGATAATCTATACCTGCTGGAAAACAATAAACCATTACGTGTCAATAGAAAATATACTTACTGTGTAACTGCTACACTAGTCAGAGGAGTCGTGGGAGCGCCTTTCCTGTGAACATAAAATAGATAGAATCATAAATGTGAGGCACAAGTGGCCCATCTCATCCAAACCTCACCCCAGATTTTGATCGGTAGCCATCCATGTTATCACAGAATTGTCACAGTGCAGGAGTGTCTACATTGTGTCTTCACTCTGAGCATTTTAACTTAGTGCCACTCTCTTGGTTTATGTAATCATGCATTTTAGACGATTTTAAAACTGCATCTCATTCCCATAACAGAAAACATCACCTATATCCACACTTAGTGCCCAATGGATGTCAAGGACCACAGGGGGTCAGATAAGGTTTCAATTGCCAAAATAAAACTTAAACACTGAACAAAGAAAGTTCTGGAGAAGCTCAGAAGGTTTGGCAGACAGAGAGAGAGTCTCAAGTATGCTGCAACTTTCCTTCATGCAGGAAGTCATTGCAGACTCAAAATGAGGTTGCAGATTACTTCTGTTATTGTTAACTGGTTCCCTTTCCACAGAGGCTGCCAGACCTGCTCAGTTTCTCCAGTGCTTTCAGTTTTTTGTTCAGATTTCCAGCATCCAGCAGGAAATAGCTGCATGAAGATAAATCTGTGTCAGAACTGTAGGGGAGATTTAAAAAAGAAGGCATGTTACTGCAAGGAAAAGCTCAGAGCTTTCCCAACCATGGGCACCTTAGATATCAAGGAGCACACAGGATAGCAAAAGGCATTAAGGGGAAGCTTGTATCAGAGACGGAGAGCTCAATACTACAGAAAGCTGAGAGAAACGGACAGATTATTGTCAAGCAAGGGTTATGGGGGTTTACGGGAATGTGGAATTTAAAATACAGACAGATCAGCCATGATCTTAGTGAATGGAGCAGCAGGCTCAGGGATCTATGGAGAAGAAAAAAATTAGGAAACATTGTGTGTAATTTTACATCAGACATGGCCATTTAGCTCTTTGGAACCGGCTCCTTGGAAACACTGTCCAAATTAATACCATATCTGTTAAAAATTAATTCTTGTAAAATTCTTCTATTCTATTGTTGTTTTGCAGCAGTTTATCAATTTAGATGTTAGTTAAGTCCACGAACTAAGTGCTGGAACTAAAAGGTATATGACAGACAGATCCATGTCTAGGAAACATCCCCATCAACAATCTCCTTAAAACTCAATTTTAGGAGCCTGCCAGCAACATTTCCTGATTTCTCAATTTCTCATGCTGTTATATCACTATTGGTAGAATTAAAGTAAAACACTAGAATTGAGTGGTGGGATGTCATTTTCTATACATTACCCTCACAACATATACTACAGAGAATTTAGTTGTTTTATTGAGACAGATATCTGAAAGTTTATTAACAATGAAGAATAATACTAATATGATATCTCAGACTTAAATATATTCTGAAGTCTTTGCTTACTTATGTTACTATCACATTTTCTACACAGTTGACATGCTAACTAGTTAAATAACTGTCTGAGTAGCTGGTTGGCTGTCTGAGTTACTGTTTGTCTGTACACAAGGTAAGAAGGAGACTTTTTATATTAGAGCACTGCATGTCATGATCTCATTTATCTGTCTTAAAGATACAGTGCCATTCTGAGATCTGTACAATGACGCAATACGTGGTAAGGAGTGTAATATTTATCTCAATGTGACAAGACATCACACAATCGCAATTTTAAAATGCCTAAATTTAAAATTAAAGTTAATACTGGAACCAAACACAGGTTCTTAGAAATTAGCATCCAGGTCTTGCAACAAAGACATCTTAATATTTGGGCAGTGAGCAAAAACAATAAGTAAAAGGAGTGCATTTAGTTTGCAAAGTATGCAAAGGAGCAGGTTGTACAGTTACTCCACAACTTGGATATAAGAGTACAGTAACAAGAGTTGCAGCATTAATAAAAACCAAAACCGCACTAATAACTATTAAACTGGGCGAAACTGACAACTCATCTGCTATAAGTCACTTCAAAGATAGTAGGAGGATGATGCGTTGATTCCACTCCCGTACATCTCAGTTGTCCTCGTTTTTCAAGGACCGTAACTTCCCCTCCTCGGTGGTCGAGAACGCCCTCAACCGTGTCTCCCACATCTCCCGCACCTCATCCCTCACACCAATAAGAACCAAAAAAGAATCCCCCTCGTCCTCACGTACCACCCCACCAACCTCCGGATCCAACGCATCATCCTCCGACACTTCCGCCATCTGCAATCCGACCCCACCACCAAAGACATCTTTCCCTCCCCACCCTTATCTGCTTTCCGGAGGGACAACTCTCTCCATGACTCCCTTGTCCGCTCCACACTCCCCTCCAGCTCCACCACACCCGGCACTTTTCCCTGCAACCACAGGAAGTGCTACACCTGCCCCCATACCTCCTCCCTCACCCCCATCCCAGGCCCCAAGAAGACTTTCCACATCAAGCAGATGTTCACCTGCACATCTGCCAATGTGGTATACTGCATCCGCTGTACCCGGTGTGGCTTCCTCTACATCGGGGAAACCAAGCGGAGACTCGGGGACCGCTTTGCAGAACACCTACGCTCGGTTCGCAATAAACAACTGCACCTCCCAGTCGCGAACCATTTCAACTCCCCCTCCCACTCCTCAGACGACATGTCCATCCTGGGCCTCCTGCAGTACCACAACGATGCCACCCGAAGGTTGCAGGAACAGCAACTCATATTCCGCTTGGGAACCCTGCAGCCCAATGGTATCAATGTGGATTTCACAAGTTTCAAAATCTCCCCTCCCCCTACCGCATCCCAAAACCAGTCCAGCTCGTCCCTGCCTCCCTAACCTGTTCTTCCTCCCACCTATCCCCTCCTCCCACCTCAAGCCGCACCTCCATCTCCTACCGACCAACCTCATCCCGCCCCCTTGACCTGTCCGTCCTCCCTGGACTGACCTATCCCCTTCCTAACTCCCTACCAACACTCACCTTTCCTGGCCCCATCCCCGCCTCTTCGACCTGTTTGTTTCTTCTCCACCTATCCTCTCCTCTATCCCTCTTCTATTCGCCTCCCACTCTCTCCCTATTTATTTCAAAACCCCCTTCCCCTCCCCCTTTTCTGATGAAGGGTCTAGGCCCGAAACGTCAGCCTCTCTGCTCCTATGATGCTGCTTGGCCTGCTGTGTTCATCCAGCCCTGCACCTTGTTGTCTCTGCTATAAGTCACTATCGCTTTGTGTAGGGTAAACTAAACAAGATGCGGTTAACTTTATTAATTACACAGTGACCTGACTGGAATTTTGTTCTCTGATGTGGCAACATGACAAGAGTGAATTTAATTGCAATTTACAAGCAATTTTTGCATGTTACTCAGTGTTAGTTTTAAAATTGAATCAAAGAAGTCTAATCCTGTGTAGGCTGATAACAAAAGGGTGACATATAAGATGCTGGCTTGCTGTCCTTACAGCCAGCAAAAAGGAGAGGAAGGGAAATACCTTCAGCTAATGTACCCATCACTTTTGGCTGCAAACGAAAAGTAGAAAATCGAACACAGATCTATCTTGTCTCCGGCAAAATTTCCATCAATGAAGTTATACAATGAAACATACATTTTCATAGTTTGGTCAAAGGTATTAGTATAAAAAGCAGGATGGATATAGCTTGGATTACCTACATATAAGTAAAAAATACTTACCAAAGACAACAGTTTCCACAGACAAGTGCAAGGGCATTATTCCAGCCATAAACAGCAACTGGGAAGTTAAATGCAGTGATGATTCCTACTAGACCAAGTGGATTCCATTGTTCAATTAGAGCATGTCCAGGACCTTGGAAAGATTTCATGGAAGTCAAGTACAAGTTAAATACATTGTAGCTTTGTTTCAGACTCTCTAAATAAAAATACGGGGAGAGAACTTCATGGAGATGGGTCCCATTTCCTATCATTTACATTATTTCACTGAATTTTTTTTTTTACTAAACTTTCAGTTAAGATGTGGCGTGAGAGTGGGAGAAATAGTAAGAACAATATACCCTATAGTCATTATCTACCTAAAGTTAAACAAATTATGTACCCAAAAGGTTGAGGAATGTTAATGTTTGACCTTTAGCTGTAGTGAGGAGTCCCACCATAGGTTTAACAACTGCAGTTGCTCAAATCTACTGCACTCTGAATTTCTCTTCCTCTGACCTGACCAATTCCATACAAATCACTTTCCATGCAAGACTAATATAATGGAGAATTAAACTTGGATTTTGAGAATTTTAAATAAGTTAAAACCAATTAAATATGCTTGAAGATCGAATGCTTTAAGGGATAGTAGGAGAAAGGATAGAACTGTGAAAAAAAAAGGCTTTTTGAATTTTTTTTTTTATAAAGTCCTAAAAAGCACCAGAATATTAAACTTCTAGAGTCTCCAGATTACAACATGAGAAAAATACTATTACCACCAAAATCTGACACTTTAACATAACCAGAAAAATTCATTTCAAAACAAGTTTTGTCACAGTCACAAAAACTAAACACAGTTAATTTTTTAGCTCTTCTGATTAAAGTTATGGCCTGAAATGTTAACTGCTTCTCTTTATTGATGCTATCTGCCTGCTATTTCCAACAGTCCTGTTTTTATTTTTGTTAAGTTTACTATTCAGTATTGTTTTGAGGATGATATATTCAAATTTCACTTTATTCTTTTATGGGATATGGGCTTTACAGACGAGGGTAACATCTGTTGCCCATTCTTAGTGGCTCTTGAACTGAACAATTTGTTAGGCCATTTCAGAGGGAAGTTAGAAATCAGCCACATTGTGGAGGATCTGGAGTTACATTGGGCTAGACCAGTTAAGGGTAGCAGATCTTCTTCCCTAAAGGACTTTAGTGAATCAGATCCATTTTTACGGTAACTGATGAATGTAGTTAGCAATACTGCAAGTATCTTTCAATTCCACACTTCTTAATTTAAATTCCAGTTGCCATGGTGAAATTTGAACCCATGTCCTCAGAGTTTAGCCTAGGCTTCTGGATTATTAGTCTAGTGCCAATATCTCCCAGAATCTCCTTCGGGGCGGCACAGTGGCACAGTGGTTAGCACTGCTGCCTCACAGCGCCAGGGACCGGGTTTGATTCCAGCCTCGGGTGACTGTCTGTGTGGAGTTTGCACATTCTCCCCATGTCTGCGTGGGTTTCCACCGGGTGCTCCGGTTTCCTCCCACAGTCTAAAGATGTGCAGGTTAGGTGGATTGGCCATGCTAAATTGCCCGTAGTGTTCAGGGATGTGAAGATTAGATAGGTTATAGGGGGATGGGTCTGGGTGGGATGCTTTGAGGTTCGGTGTGGACTTGTTGGGCCGAAGGGCCTGTTTCCATACTGTAGGGATTCTATCTATGTAAGTATTTTTAAGGCACTTTTGGGCATTGAGTGATTATGAAAATTACATTATGATGTATCAATAAATGCAGTCTTAATTAATCAAATGCAAATATTTTGCATGTTCGCACAGTTTGGGTACAACCTTTTTATGCACAACCTT